GAGGCCCATGTAGGTGGCTGGGGCTGCTGGTGCAGCATCTCCCATAACCTGGATGACTGTGTCTAACACTGTCCCTCTTAACCAGGTGGCTCAGCTTCTCTGGTATCCCACTATCCCTTTTACCCTCCTCCCAGCAGTTTCTCTTGAATGTGTGTCCTGTTCTGCCCATGTGTTGGATCTGCCCCTTCCCTCACTGGGAAAGCCAGACTGTCTTTGTTACAGACCCTTACTTCCCTAGCTGAGGTCCTAAGACTGACTTTCCCCAGATCCCTGCTCCTAGACTACGGTAAGTTTTCCTTTGCTTACAGGTGGCATCTTAACCTGCAGGGGCTTGATCCGAGACTAGGGAAGGGGTACGATTCACACTCAATTTACAGCTGTGTCTGCACCAGAACATCACCAAGGTTCTGGGCCTACTATATGATGATGTTCAGGTGAATCCTAGTCAGGGGCCTCACCTCTAGAACTTCCATACAAATAAATAAAATGTAATAAAAGCTAAAAAAAAAAAAACCCACAAAAAAAAACCAGAATAGAAAAACAGGATACACAAAAGATTGGTTCTTTAGAAAGATCAGCAAACTGTGCAAACTCTCACTGTGTTAAGATGAGAGAGAGATAAGACTAATACTGAATTGGAAGTTCTACTAGAGCAGTTAGTCAGGCACTCAGATTGGTGTGGCAGAATTAATGCTGCCCTTAGGTATAGACAACCGATTCATCACATGCACAAAAAGCCTAGGAGTTAAAAAACTTTTGGATCCAATAAGGGAACTCAACAAAGCTGAAGGATGCAGATACATAACAAAAGCAGTTGTAGTTCTATAGATAAGCACTCTGTGTTCAGAAATGAAAATGAAGAAAATACCACTTACAGTAACTTTTCTTTTGAGACAGAGTCTCACTCTGTAACCCCTGCTGGCCTAGAACTCACTCACTATGTAGCCCAGGCTGGCTTCAAACTTGTGATAATCCTCCTGCTTTAGCTTCCTGAGTGCTAGGATTATAGGCATGAGGCATCATGCTTGGTAGAAATTTTAAAAGGAAAAAATACTAAAGAAAAAATGTAACCAAAGAGGTGCAAGACCTGTGTGCTGCAAATACAAGGTGTTGCTGGTGGCTGGGGGCTGGTGGGGAATCAAAAACTTCCATATGTGGAAAGGAAGCTGTGTCTGTAGACTGGAAGCCTCAGCCCTGCCCACATGATAAAAGTTTCCTTACATGGTCTGTAGGCCACATCATTTCTCAGGGCAAGCTGAACTGGAGGGACCAGACAGATTTGCCTGAGGCTCATTTCCTTTGGCCCAGGCTGGGAGCTTGTATGAGTACCTATGGGGTATTGGCCTCTGATGACTTGCTTCTGCAACATAAGCTCCACATTTCATGTCTGAGCATCCAATCACTTGGCCCTGGATCCTGGATCCTGGATCTTGGGTGTTGGCTGCAGGGCCTGCGGTACCTTCTTCAAGACATTCTACTGTCAAGGAGGAGACATAGGTGGTTTCTGCTTCTCCACATGCCAAGTGACCATTCTCTGAGGATCTGGTTAGCCATGGGGTGCTCAGGGTGGCCCCCAAATCTTGTATGTGTGTGAGGGGGGTACATCCTGGGAGTGAGGGGAGATTAGACCAGGCAAACCACAAGCTAAAGTCACAGAATATCCACTGAGAGGCTAGGGGTTTTGTTGTCATGGAAACCACCAATCTTGATGAGACCCACTCAGCTGAGAGGTTGGGGCCTCTTAAGGCTGATGCTGCTCTCTGCTGGGCCTTCGTGGAGCCCTCTTCTCCTTGATGCAGTTCTGACGCACATGTGGGGGCTCTGGGGAGTCAGTGTTCTCTGTCCTCAGATTGTCTCTTGGAGAGGAGTCACTCAAGATGACACAACCTGCATCATACTGAACACTCACAAAGAAAGGGTCTGAGACTTGGGCAGTACATTGACCTGAGCCCTGTGAATCTTAAGTGGCTGTATTTTCCTCAAAATTTCCCTGAGGTGGGTGTGGCTCCCCAAAAGCTGAGCAGAGAGGGTTTTGGGAGTACCCAGACTGCAGTGCTGCTTCAAGTAAGAGGAAGATCCAGTAGCATGCCCTGTCAGGGACAGTTTTCTTCTTGGAAACCTTCAGGATAGGCTGGCTATATGGCCCCTCCACACAGACAACAGAATCCATATCCTGCTGTCAAGGGGAGTTGGCTGTTCTCTCTGTGGTATCCAAGGGTCCATTGAAAAAGGGCATAGGTGTTCTGTCCAGAGAATAGTTAAGCAGGACATGTACCTGATGGGCACTTGGGGGCTCTTATTTCCTGGGGCTGTGCAGTCCTTGGGACTCGAACTAATTTCAGTGGGTGTTGATATGTACTTAGGAAATTTGGGACCGGGGGAGGGTGCAAACCCAGGGGTCCATTGTAGGGTCTCAGGAAGAGCCATCTGAGTGGGATGTTGGACTGAGGAGGACATAGTAGAGGTTGCTGGGCCAGGGTTTGGAGGGTGTATTTGTGTTCTCTAGAGGAGCAAAACCAATAGGATATACATATGTATATGTAATATTTAAAATGATTATATTTGATAATGACATAAAAGGAGATTGTTAGATTGACTCATGTTTGGAGGCTGAGTGGTCCAACAAAGGCTGTCTGCATGCTGGAGAAGCAGAGGACCCCTAGCTACTTAGTTCAAGAAGCTGGAAGCCTTAGAAACAAGCAGGACTTGTGATGTACCCCAGTCTGAGGCTAGAAGGCTGGAAGTTCCTTGAAGAGTCGCTGATGTGAGCTTGTGTTCAAAGGCTGAAGGAGCTGGAGTTTGATGCCCATGGGCAATGGTAGTTGACGTAGCTGCACACTCTGAAGAAGAATGAGGCTTGGCCATGCCAGCTGGGACCCTTCTTTTCCCTCCTGCTGCCCACATTCAAGGCGGCCCTTTCCCTTACTGCCTGCATATCAGTCATCTCTGGAAATGCCTCAGAGACACACCCAGATCCACTTTCTTGGTCCTAGGCATTTCTGAATTCAGTCAAGTTGACAACACCAACCATCAGAGTGCCCCTCAGAGGGTCTAAGAGGAAAGACTGTAGCTCCTCTTTTCTTTTTCCTCAGACCCTGATCTCCTTGGGAAGGGTCAGGTGCAGCAATTCCTTTCCCAGCCCCAGACCAGGTCAGAAAGCAGCAGAGGGAATCAGGTCCTCAGTGGAGCATGAAGCTGTCACCCCTACAATCCTTGAATCTCACCTTCAAATGACATGTACCTGTAGGGAGTGTGTAAAAGCAGAGGACACACATAGGTGTATGTGTGTGGAGGGCATGGATCCTGTGGATGGCTATACCCATGTATATGTAGAGAACATGCATTTGTGGAGGGTGTGTACCTACAGGGAGTTATGCATGTCAAGCCTACAGTCAGCCATGGAGGAAGTGACTTGGGGAGACAGGAGGGACCAGGCATGCTGGTGACCAAGGGCTTCTGGGGGTCCAGCACCATGTGGACCCTCCCAGTACGTCAGGGCCTGGCAAGGAAAGGTGGTGTCCTGCAGGTAGGACATTAAATGGTAGCAGGAGAGGCAAGATAATGAAATTGGGCCCCTGGCCCAAGAACAGTGGAGGGCCCTGGGCTGCTATGTGACTGAGTGCCTGCTTTAGACCTGAAGATCAGACTCCAGGAAGAGCTCCACATGGAAATCAGCCTTATTTACTAAACAGTACAGGACATGGCTCTACCTACCAGAAAAAGCTCTTCTGACAGTGCTAGGTACACCAAGTAGTTGCTGGGTAGCCCTTCAAGTTCATAACCAGAGATAGGTCAAGGGCTGGGCTCCTCACAGACCACAAACACACAACAATGAGTTCTCACTCAGAACCACTAGGCCAAAAATATCTTCCAAACACCTAGGGGGCAGGCAGCAGCAGGGTACTTGAGGTCACTCTGGGAAAATTCAGCAAGTGGCCCAGGAAGGGTACTTGCAAGGCCTCAATGGCCTCCAGGACAAGTTGGTGCCCAGGGAGTCCAAGGTTGGCCACTCTGAGCATGGGTTTTTCTGACTGCAGTATTTGGGGTTTGGTCTTGAGTAAAAGGGAAAACCATGGGGACTCTTCATTGCTGACTGCTGTCCACTATGGTTATAGGTATGTTCTTATCTAAAGTAACCCTTATTTTCTCTGCAGCACAGCTATTGTCTAAGGGAAGTGAGCTGGCTTCTGCCACCTCTCAGATAGGCTGGTCCTACTGGTTCTTCTAGCTCTGACTCTGGGAAGAGGGAGGCAACCACCCTGCCACCTTTGCCCTCAAGGGCTGTTTCCGTGTCCCCAGGACATCCATGTTTCAAAATCTGCTGTGAATTTCCCCTGAGGAGGGGGCAGTAGACATAGCTTGAGTGGGGGTGGGGGTGTTTATTTCCTAATCCACTGGGTCCCAACAGCCAGTGCATGCTTACCACAAAATTGGTGCCAGAGAGTGTGACGGAGGAGGTACCTTAGTGTCAGTGAGACCAGGAAGCAATCCAAAGTCACAAATGCCCAGTCTTGATGTGAAATCACCCCAGGAGACATGGAGGACCTCCCACAAGTAACAAGGAGTCCATAGTGCCCAGGCAGTATAGGAACATAAATCTCTAGACCAGCAGAGCTCTGGTCAGAAATGTCATGGGCAGTTCTCTGCTCTTCAAGTTACCCCTCAGGCTTACCTTGGTGATTTGTCCCTATCCTAGCCTCACCAGCATGGCTAAAACCATCTTACCTTAGGATTTTGCCCTATTACCCCATTCTGTTACTGGCCCCAATCTTTAGCACACTACTTCCCCAATCCCTGTCCCAGAGTTACTTACCTTACCCGCCTCCTCCCATAATGCTCCACCTCCCAGTTCTGCCCAGCCCTCAGGCTACCTCTACAGGCCAAATCATCTCTAGTCTGGAGCCTGGTGAGGAAGTTTTATAGGACATGTGAAAAGCATGTTCAGGGTTGGGGTTTCCTTGGACTTAGGTGGTGGAAGGCCCACGAACATGCTTGAATACCTGAGCAGGGGCTGCTTGGGGTACGGCGGCTGGTCTGCACCTGGGCACGGTGGGGCCTTCTTGGTCACCTGCTTGTAGATGTTCCTGGCAGTCACTCCGATCCACAGCATGGTAGAGAGTGTAGAATAGTGCAGTGCAATGCCCACCTGGGAGGGGAGAATGTCAGCCAGCCACCTCCTCTAGCCACCTGTCCCAGCACAGCTGACTCCTGGTGCACAGCCCAGCCTTTCTGGGCTATGAGTGGGCTGAGCCCAGGCAGCTACTCTGCAATTCTTTAGGGACAAAAAAATGAGACCAGCAGGAGGGCAGGTGGGGGATGTGTCAGGGCAGCTGAGATCCCCAAACTGCAGTATATGTGAGAGCCTGTGGGAAGCGTGGAGGCTTACATACAGGTCCCTCCCCGAGGGCATCCATTCCAGTCTCATATACAGGGCCTGGTGCAAACACACCTACCTGGCTCCACTCAGGGGCCCCTAAGTAGAAGACAGGCATAGCCTCACATCGGGGGCCCCCAACATGCATTCACAGTGGCATTGAACCTAAGGAAAGTCACCTCAGGGATGAGGCTTGGCCGATCCACCCTCACACATCAGAGTGACTCATTACTACGGAAACAGCTGCAGGAGCTGTGTCCCATCCACTGGCACTTTTACACTAGCTAATTTTGCATTCTATACACCTTCATCTCCATCTGAGTCCATAAAATGAGGCTACCTTTGAGGTAATAACCTGACATTTTGAAATGACAAGTAAAATATTGCTATAATCGGAAAGAATATAAATGTTTAAAGAACACGGATTCCCTGAATAAAGCTAACATTGCACCAGTATAATGATTTATCAAATCTAGAGTTCGATTTTTACTTATGAGCAAATGCTATGATAATTGATGAGGGTTTGGGCGTGGGGTAGAAAGACCAGCCATCCAAAGTCTTCATGGGCATGGGGTAGCATACCCGTGCCTTCCTGGTGCTCAGGTGTGATGGGTTAATGTGGATGTTCCAGGCATACTGGCCTCACCCCTCTTAGGTGAGAGTGGGAGGCACTGGACCCAGGTGGCAAGAGCTGTCTGCATCCACAAGTGCAGGGCAAAGGCACAAGGGAGATGGGTTAGCCACCGTCTGAAGGAAGGTCTGTGGTATGGCTATCATTGTCACATACGAACAAATTTCAGACTCATCCTCAGAAGGGCTCCTGATCCTCAGCCTTGAGACACTGGCCCCAGGGCCTTGAGGAGGGTGGGAGTGTGGCTGGGAGGAGAGAGAGAGAGAGAGAGAGAGAGAGAGAGAGAGAGAGGGAGAGAAAGACTGTTTTTTCCCCCTGCTTTGTGGTGAGTCTTGCTCAGGCTGTTTTTCAGGGATCAGGAGAAAGTGTGCAAAGGCAGACTTTGTCTCTTAAACACCGGCTTGAGAGGCTGGACACACAGGAAGGTTAAGGGGATGCTGCCCGGCTTCCAGACAGCACTGTGCTGAAAGGAGGCAGCAGGCAGGACACCCTCCCTTGCTTCCGGACCCAGGGCCAGTGCTGACGCACATTCATTATGTGGGACTAACAGCAGCCGTCTGCTTTGTTTATGATGTCACTTAGTACTTTAATGAGGCTCACGGTCATCTTTCTGTTGCCATGACAACGGCCTGTTCTCTCCAGCCATCCAGAGCTCTGGACCACTTCTGGTTATTCTATGGTGATGCTGAGTTTGGACAGGGGAGGGGCTTGGACTCCTGTGCTCAGTTACCTGGTTGTTGGTGAAGGTGGCTTTTAGTGATCTAGCCTTTAACCTACAGGCCCTTCTCAGCAGGCGATGGAGAGAGCAGCTGTGTTTGGGTGAGCTAGGCCAGCCCTGACCCACCAGGCTGCCTGTCAGAAACAACCTGGTCTCTGGCACAGGGAAACTTCAATAGCAGTAATTCTCACTCCAGTCCATAGGCCCAGGGAAATTAATTGTCCTGGCATGGTGGAGATTGTCACCATGGGAGGTGCTGTGGAGAACTGAAGGCCGTCCTATGGCCTCTGCTTGCCTGAGTTTTGTCTCACACCCACACTGCCTTTGCCGCAGTTCATCTCCAAAAGCACACCCGCCTCATGTTTTTCTTTTTAGTCTGCTGTCCACTGCTGCCCCCTAATGGAGCCTAGCGGTTGTGTTTCCTTTGGTCCCACACCCATAGCACTGCTTGTGCCTTGCAGGCTGGTTGCCAAGTGAAGTGTGGGTGGAGGCCTGTCACTTCAGGAAAAGCCATGGGAGACTGAGAAGTGTCTGTTTTCTGCAGTCCTTTCTACTCCAGCACACAGGGCCCTGTCCATCATCTGGAGTCTCACAGTTGTCACTAAGGACTTTCCATCTGAGCACCTTAGCTCTGAGGATCTTTCCAAGCCCATCCATCCCCACCTACTAAACCTCTCTTCCAGGTCTGGCACTAGTAGATCTTGAGTATCATTGAAGTGCCTGGCTTGCAGGGGCCTCATGGGGCATGCCTGAGCCTGGAGACAATGCTGGAGTTTCTGGAGGCACTGAGATGATTCCAGTGGGCTATGTGGCCAACAGGCCTCAGTTGTGGAACACTTGGTGGTAGAGTGAGGACATAAAGATAACGACCCACTCAATTGCTTTTCCGATGGCTCCTGGGCAGGCATTTACAGCAGGAGTAAATGGGATTTCCTAGCCCTTGCTGTGGCTGTTTCCAGCTTAACAGAAGCAGCCATGAAAGATGCTGTCTCCCCTCCCCTCTGTTCGGGCGTGTGTTACCACTTCTGTCTGGCCCAGGTCTGGGTAGTAGCCTGGCTTCCTGGGGTTGGACATATCACACAGTTATACCCAGAAGACCAGAGCATGGGTTGTGCCTTCTAGGTATGGGTGCCATGCTCACAGAACATGCCAGCCCTCAAATTACATCAGTGAAGGCAAAGAAAGCAACTGTGGCTGAACTGGTTAAGCACACCTGACCAGGTGGGTCCGGGAACCTGGGAAGTTAGGAGGGCTTATTCTTTTAGTCAGGCTATTCTGGAAACCTCTGTGGGAATAGCTTTTTGCCCACAGATCATCAGGGAAAGCCTCACCTGAAGCTATCTATGCAGGTAGACAGGCCAGGGAACTGGTTAGTGTGGCTACTGTCATCAGTGTGGGGCATGTTGGTGGGCCTCAGGAATTGAGGAGAGGTCATTTCCACAGTTGCTAATAGCTGCTTGCAGACTTTGCAATAGTGAATCCAGTTAGGGACACTTAAGGACTCATGGCCTAGGAAAGACATTGGTCCATGAAGTGACAGAAACCACAGGAGTCTTTGATGAGCTGTTCTCAGTCCCTAGGTGGCCTTACTCATGGAGCCTCGGTGTGGAATAGGCCCAGGACTGCAGCTGTCTCCTCTCCTTGGCTCAGAGCCATAACGCAAGAAAAGCAGAGCTGGGCTTGGCTTTAATGGGAGGGTCTCTATCTTCATTCATCACATCCAGGGACCACAGGTTATTTCTATTCCCCTGTTTAAGCCAGTCAAGCTAGGCTGTGTGTAATGACCTGTCTTGTGATTTGTGCTATTCTTTTCCATGTTGGGCTATTTCAAAGCTCTCCCTTTCTTCTAAAGAGAGCAGAGCTGCCGGAGGGTGCTCTGCTTGGTTGATGTGGGGATAGAGTCTCTGCTACCACCTGGACAACCTGGAAGCTACAGGTGGCAGATCTGACGGAAAGGCAAGGTCAGCAGCTGCAGGGCTCTCATTCAGCCCACTCCTGGGTCCTGCCCTCACTGGCTTCTTCAGGAGAGGCATCATGTCCCCATTCTTGGGTAAAGCACCATTGTCTGGACAGTATACGTTTAGGTGCAACATGCACCTAGTCCTTAGAGCAAATTGGTCTGGTGGAAAATAAAAACATTTTCTATGACCAAACATTGATCCAAACAACTGGTTTCAGATGGAGTGGAATTATAATATAGACCCACTATAAAACCTTCCCTCACCCATCCGTTCTGGAGCAACAGCTGGGCAAAACACTAAGGTATTTCATAAGGAAATTAGCATACATTTCCTCTTTGATAAGAAAGCTGATAAGCACACTTTTGTTGCAGCACAACAAAGACAGCACTCACCGCCTGGCACAGGATGGGGTACTTGGTACGATTAATGCCGCCGGCAAACACCGTGAAAGTCAGAGCTGCGTGGAAGCAGAAGTTCAGGAGTGCGTGTCGGCCTTTCCGGCTGATCCGGATGGCACTGCAGAAAATGGAGGTTTCACATTAGGAGCCATCAGTTCATGGAAAGACCTGGAAATACCATGGTGATTACAGTAGGCCCTCAGTGGAGCTGGGAGCAACCTGTTCAAAGGACCAGACCGTGGGAAAGATAGACAGCTGGGCTTTGCCCACCTCAACAAGCCCCCATTGATAGAAGATCTCTAAGGGCTTTTGTAGAGACTCCACCACTCTGACCATTTGACAGAGGGAGATGCTGAAGTCTGAGACTGACTTGTCCAGGGTCTCAGAAGGGGAAGTCATACCCCTGACTCTCTTAGGTCAGCTTCTTGGCTCTCTGAGCAGGTGCTTGATACTCAGGAGAGGGCTAGACTATGTGACTAGAAGCATGACCCCAGCTCTCATCACACCTGAAGCCTGCCCTGGGGCATTGCCTTTGGTTATGTCAATGTCTATGACCACTGATGTGTCTAAAGCTCTCCATAGCCAGCTAGGGCAAGGCCAGTATCACTCGGCTTGTGACTCCATCTATAATCTCTTCAGCTTCTGTGGTCTGAATGTGTCTCTCAAAATCTCTGTTGAAACTTAATCACCAGTGTGTTGGTATTGGGCAGAGCTCTTATTAATGCATTTAGTGCCCTTATCAAAGAGACCCCAGAGGACTCAGAGAGAAGGTACCATCCATGAACCAAGACATGGATCTTCACCAGACACCACACCTGCCAGTGCTCTCACTCTTGACTTCCAACTTCCAGAGCTGTGGGAAACACTTTCTGTTCTAGACATTGTTTATTAACCACCTGCTTTTGTTATATATAACTTTTTATAGCTACCTAAAGAGACCGAGAACAGTTTTGAACCCACTTAACCCTCTCCCATAACAGTGGCTTCGGACACACCAAGCCTCTGCCTGTGACTGTGGCTCAGGCCCAAGTATTACCTATGACTTTGATTTTGGGTTTGGCGATGGCCATGACTGAGACCCTCCTCTTACCTCCCAGAGAATCCTCTAGGGATATAGATATGCAGCAGTCACTCCACTCCCAAAGCTCCCAGACACAAGTGACAAAAAAAATTCAGACATAGAACTCTGTCTAGAAGCCCTCCCTCAACCCCAAATAAATAGGCTGAATGGAAAAGGACTTCAAGTGTTCGGCAGGCCTGAACACGGCCTCACAGGACACCCAAACTAACATGCTTCCATTTCAAGAAGGACTTGTTTCACTCAATTTGACAAGAACACGGAAACTGCCATTAAGAAGGCCTTGCAGAGCCGGGCATGTTGACACATGCCTTTAGTCCCAGCACTTGGGAGGTAGAGGCAGGTAGATTTCTGTGAGGTCGAGGCCACTCTGGTCTCCATAGTGAGTTCCAGGCCATCTGGGGCTACAGGGAGACTGTCTCAAAAAGACAAAGAAAAAAAAGGCCCTACAGAGGCTCAGGCTGGAAGGGTTGGGCTTTCTTAGCACTATCCCCTATTGGCCACTGTGATGGTCCAGTGGGCTCCTTTACCTCTGGTGTAGGATGTAGGTGATGACAGAGGCAAGGAGGCACAGCAGCATGACCGCAGTGCAAGCATATACCACGGGGTGCAGGAACTCCCCTGGGTACTGGGGCAGAGAGAGGACAGTCTTCAAATCCTGGAAAGAAAGCAGAGCCTTGAGTGACTAGTGTGACCAGGAGTCTTTATGTGATTTGTCAGGTGTCTCAGGAAGGGTCAGGCTGGTGGCTGAAAGGGACTCTGTGTAGTGGATACTCATGTACTGCAAGGTGTCAGGCACAGTAGCCCAATGCCCACTTGGGATTGGTGTTCACTTTCCAAGGTGTTCAGCCCAGAACATTGTTCCACGACTCTGAGAACAGCTCCCAGAGGGGTATTTCCACAGTGCTCACACCTGCCTCCAGCCCTCTTTCCATCTGTGCCACTGGCAGATGGCAGGCACGGTGACAGCTTCTACCGCACACAACTACTGGTTGCATGCTGCCTTTAGAGAGGCTGCAGGGTACACAGCCACCCTAGCCTCCTTCTTCACCTCTCACCCATTGACATTCTGCTATGAAATGCCTCACAGGGGAATTCTGTACCACATTTCAGCAGGTCTCAGTGGTGTTGACTCAAACAGATGGAGAAAGAGAAGTTGTTATGAACAATAGGCACAGTCTTGGGACTTCATGCCCCTTTCTGCAACACAGAATGGCTGTCTGGGTTGGAAATGTTTGGACTCCTTGAGCCCCCTGGGTGGGTGCTCTTGCTGCGGTGTTTGGGGCAAAGGATTCAAGTCTCTGCTTGACCTTGAAGAGAAATCCTGGTCAGTGGGCAACCAGGGCTGGTGTTCACTGTGTCCTTATAGCCTTCACACTTCTGGGCCATGGCCAGTGCAGGGCAGAAGTCTGAGGGGTAGGTGTGGACATGGGCAGTACATGAATGACTCTCTGGAAGACATCAGTTTCAAGGATTATGATGCCATACTGGCCATGTTCCACCCAGATTACAATTCCTGATGAGACACTGGAGAGCCAGTCTTGGTGCAGGGACACTGCGACCTTTAACACCCTCCACTGGAGACTCCTAGGTCCCACCTTCCTGACCAGGAAACTTCCCGTACTTGGCCCAGGCCCTGGGAGGGGAATCTACAGTCAGGATATCTGTAGGCTGGACCAGCAAAGGGAGGACACCCCAAGGGGCTTTCATATCCTGGTCCCAGGAAGCTTTCTCCAGGAGCACTGGTCAGGCAGCACCTGCATGGAGGAGCCTGTGCCTGAGTGAGGACCAGGCACCTGCAGTGAAAAGGGAGGGTCTGAAGATGAGAAGACTGTCTCCCCAAGGCTTTTCAGGGGCACTTTCTTCCTGGACATCCAGCATCCAGCCTGTGGCTCAGCTCAGTTCTATGTGTGCTGAGGATGGATGTTTGCTCCTGGGTGTTTTAGAAATATGGCTACAGACCTCACCTGGTTCTTTCCCTCTGCAATGAGAGCCTCCATCCAGATCTCCTGAGTGCCCCAGAGGCCCCGAAGTCTTAGATGCCTCTGTAGTGTGGTAAGCTGAGGGAGCCAGACCCAGAGTAGAGGTGCCTTCTCCAGGACACTTGGCCTGTTGGGGAGCTCGCACATTTTTTTTCTTGGTGTCTGCTTACTGGGCATTTGCTGCCCAGTGATAGATGACGCTCTTATGGTCTCTGTGAACACCAACGATATTATTCTGTATCTGTCTCTGCTCATCTACGTCCTGACCAAAGGAACCCACTCCTGAGTCATGGAGAGCATGCTTCCTAGTGAGATCAGTTGATCCATGAATCTGATTAGCTGTGGTGCTGGGAGGTGGGATGTGCCATGGGGCTCTAATAACTGGTTTCAACTGGACCCATGCGATATCTCCAGGCTCTTGTGTACATGGGTCTTTCCATAGGAGTCAGTGGCTTTTCCCTTCCCAAGATTTTGACCCACTTTAGCCACTACTACTAACTTAAGGTGAGAGAAGTGAGTGAGTGAGTGAGAGAGCGAGAGGGTGAGAGACTCAGCATTGTCCTTTCCTTGTATCTAGGTCTGTCTCCTGAAACTAAAACTCTACATTAATCCTGAAGGTTCATGGCTTACAAGTCCTCCATGGTCTTCCTCAGGGTCATTGTCACTGTGGGTACTGGGATGAGAAAGGGATGAAGACAGCCTTGGAAGGCAGAGGGCTCAGCTCCAGCCCAAGCAGTGCCTGTTGTCCCTGATGTTCTAAGGCCCTGAGCAGTGTTCCCTATATATACCTCAGGGCCCTGTAGGAACACCTGCATTTAGAGACTCCTATCTGTAGGCTATATTCACATAACAAAGCCTCAAGAAAAGCCAAACAAGAAAGCAGAACTGTCTCTGTGTAGCAGCTGTTTTTGAAGGACACTGCCCAGACAGGGTCACTCAGCCTTGGGGTAAGGGGCTAATTTCTCAGCTGAGTATCCACAGGGGAGACCTTCAACCATTTACAGCTTTGTGAGCCTGGGAGGCCCAGGAATGGGGTCACCTGTGTGCAGACAGGCTTCTGAGACTGGAGGCAGGGTGACTTGGGGGGTGACCAACAAGCTTTATAAGAAATGGAGTTAGCCAGGCGTTGGCACATGCCTTTAATCCCAGTAATTGGGAGGCAGAGGCAGGCAGATCCTCTGTGAGTTTGAAGCCAGCCTGGTCTACAGAGTGAGTTCCAGGCAGCTGGAGCTACAGGGAGACTCTGTTTCAAAAAGACCAAAAAAAAAAAAAAAAAGAAAGAAAGAAATGGAGTTTTATTCGGCTTTCTGCTTTTTTCTTTCTCTACATCAGAGTGATCAGCAGTGCCTTTCTGCATTTTTAGAGGTGACATTTAAAATTCAAAGCAGGCAATGCAAAATGGAGACACGTTTCATATTTTAAAGTTCACACATGGGCAAGTTCCTCACAAGAAGTGCACTATGCAAATGCTCCTCAGGCAAGGTTCCAGTTGATCTGACCTAGGGTCAGGAAGAAGCTGCTTGGTTTGAGAACAGGTCTCTCTGAGTCTATGGGCAGGAAGCAGAGCATGGCTCCCAGGTCACCACAAGGAGCTCCCAAATGACTGAAGCCTGTTGTACAGACAGCTAAGCCACCTGATTGCACAAATTACAGCGGGCTTGCTGATAACTACATGCTCCTGGCTACTGCTTACCCAGTTACCACACATGCCCCATGGAAACTCTACATCAGCATAGCCTGGTGTGAACATCATGTTGACACTCTAGATGATACTGGGCTCGTTATAATCTCGTTATAGTGACAAAAACACACCCCACATGCTGTGACAGTTCGGACTATGACCAAGTTAGAGAAGAAAAGAGGCAGCTCTGATTCCTGGAAGTCTCCTCTCTTCTCCGAGAAAAGCTCTGATGCCAGCAGGCATACCACACTCTCAGAACACAGGCCTAGTAAAAATCTACACCCTAGAGCAGCCTGGGAACAGGTGCCTCCAGAGTGTGAGCTTCCCTTCTCTGTTATTGGCCATTGGGTAACACTTCTTGTCTGCTCCCAAAACTATTGGGTTATTTGCTATCAGTACTGAGTAGAAAAAGAACCTGTAGGTTCAATAACACGTGGGGAAGGAGAAACAGCCAGAGAACTGTCACAGTCTGGGATGGTCCCAGACATCTGGGCCCGTGAGAGAGTGTTCCATACAGCTCACTTGCATTGAACATAGACTGTTTCAGAAGCCAATGTGGACATGTCTTTACTCACTGGGAAACTTGAGAGTCCCCCTCTCTCAGGCTGGCTGCTTAGTCAACAGCCCTGTGGATACCCCTGTCCCAACACAGCCATGGGTGCCCTGGCTTAAGTCATGACTCCCTTTCATGTCTTCATTTTATTTTTCTTTGATATACCCTCTTGGATGTGTTCTGCTAGGGGAATGAGCCAGGGAGTTATGCAGGACAAGAAGAAAGGAAGGGGTAAGGAGAGGTCAATTCAGTTTCTTGGTGACAGTGACAAGTGGGAAAACGACCTTTGAACCTGGGCTGCTAGGTCTGAAGATACATCGCTCTCTAACCTGGGGGCTCTGCATAGAGGGAGAAACTGGGTCTTTCTGATTCCTCTCCCTGTTTGCCTGTCCTCCCTCCCTCCCCCTCCCTCTCCTTCCCCCTCCCTCCCCC